GGGTGGGTGTTTTTTCCTGGCAACATCCCAGGGCCGGTAAAGGACACCCACCTATTTCCATAATAGTGTGCACGCGAAAGGTCCTAAAAGGCAATCGAGCAAAATTCATAGCGAAAAAGCGAACACCACGTGGCACGAGCTGGCCCCCTAATCGCCGGTCAGCCATCAACGATTCCGTTTTAGTTCGGCCCGTAGGCACTCCATTTTGAGCTTTTCCTGTTCAGTAGATTACCCCAGCTGCTGACTCAAAAAAGTTCTCTTTATTCAGTGGGTACCAAAAATGAAACGACAGCTTTCACTGGCACCCACGACGAGCACATCAACACAGTGAGCGGCGAACTAGCTTGTCTGGTTTCTCGAGAAGAGAGGAAAAAAATTCTTGTTTGTTGACTAGTTTACTAGTTCCATGTGTTGACTGTCACCTCACAGCACCGCAGCACGGGAACAAGTCTCAAACTGGAGGAGAACGAGTCTCGGAGAGGGAGGAGGCGGAGGTAGAGTGATCGAGGCATGCGGCGGCGGCAGTGACGACGACCAGCTCAGCCAGACAGCGAGCAGAGGTCGCCACGAACACTAGCACCAACGGTAAACAACCAGTAAACAACACATCCGATACTAGTAGCCAGTACCCTATCCGCGCGGCTCATGGGCAGCCAACGAACTCCTGTCGGTCCAGTCTGCACTTCGTTTCTTCTATCACAGCTACATCTGGCAATGAGATCGCATTCACTGCGATAATCCCTGCCCAATTCTATAATCGGACTTCGATTGATCTTATTTTAAAGCTCTGCTTGAATTTAGTAACCGCCTGGCCTAGGGACATCGACAAACTTGAGAATTTGTAATTTCAGACGCCTTCTCCCAAACCAGATCTGTTCTTATTCCCTAGAAGCGATCGGCTCACTACTCGGTTGTTCAAACCGTTCTTTCAGGTTGTTCAGTAGCCCCAGGCAACAAGTTGTAACCTGGTGAAAATAAAAACTTATAATGCCCAGAAGGACTATAGGTCCGGTGCCAAGTTCCACATGAGATTCATGAGATTCTCTTGTCATGATGTATATGCATATGAGTGACAAGTCATTGTTACCAGACGGTCACCCCACGGCCGTGGAGCAAAATAGGTCGTCAAGCCGTACAGTCGCCCACAACCGAATTGGGTTATACTGACCTTCTGCGCGGTGGTCTCCATCATATTGTAAATCTCATGACAGATGCAAACCGAAGAACAAGTAGGCATGCAGGGTAGTTGAATCAACTTCAGCACGTTTTCGTTTGTGTGGTTGTCGTTGATTGTTCGTAATGTTGCATGTATGAATGTTTTTTTTTCGTTTCGTAGGTATCTTTGGTGTTGCTCAGCGAGCGAACGAAAAGCGAACGGTCGAAGGTGCCAGGCTAGTAGCCTGGCACCGCGCCATACAAAAGTGGCTGGCGAATGAAAGTCTTCTTCGCCCGCGACGTGAACGATTCCGTCATCAGAAGACGTCTGCCTTTTGGCTCCTCCTTTCTTCTGAATAAGACAGAGATCGGACGCCATCGTCGTCTAAACTTCGCTCCCTTTTAATTTTTCAGTATCATCGCGGTTCCATTTTAAAACTGTCTACTATCATGTCGAACATTCACACATGTCCCCGCCTCTGGCACTTGCCTTTTTTGCTTTTCATCCCTTCTTTTTTCAAATATCCTATGGGAATGGTGGTTATCTGATTACAGTTCGAAAGAATCCGTCTCGAGAGCTTAGTATCCCTGAGCATTCTTGTTTTTCTTTAGTTTCAGCTATTTCGTCAGTCTCTGGCCGTCTTCGCACCCACATCTGCCGCGATCTCTGCTCTTTGAGGGGATACTCTTTGGTGCCAGTCGGTGTTTGTTTGCTTTTCAGTTGCAGACAGCCGTTGGCGGTTTTTTCTAGTACATGTGGGGCACTAGCCAGCACCGCCTGGCGAAAGACCGCACACAGTGTGGAGAGCGAGGGAACGGGTCGCCCGAAAGAGAGCATGAGAGCTCACGAGAGTTACACACTGCTCATTACGTGGTTGTTTTCGCATGAGCCACACTCGTACGAGCACGCCAAGTGACCAGTGGTCTGGTCACACAACGAAGCGAGCATAGAACTGCCTAGGAGGACAGCTCTGGGAACGAACAGCAGACTGCAGCTTCATTGTCCTTTGAGATGCTCCACGGAGAAGGAACTGGTTTATTCTAGGGGGCCACTCTAACGGGGCAACTTTACCACAAATCAAAATTTTAGTCTCTATCAGCTAAACTCTCATACGAGCTGTACTCATGCTCTGGTTGGATGCTGATGGACAGAAATCGGATAGTTGATCCTTGCCTGTAGAGGATTCCACTGCTCCAGACGTTACCGTGACCCTACGCATACTCCCAAGGAACCGCATCGACAGATTTCACCATCCTTATCCCACGCATTGCAGATACCCAGATGACATCATCATCAATCGCCACGGCTTCAGGAAACTTCCTGCTCAGCCATTATGACTGATGTTTACGTCGCATTTTCATCGTATACATGTGAGGCCATCACCGGACCCTACTAGCGCGTTGTTGTTGTTTTGTGATGGCGTGCAGGGCAACGCGTGCCAGGCCGCACCCGAACACCAAAAAACGCAATGATGTGGAGCGTTCACGACAAATACCCTCGAGCGCATGCCCGTGAACGCAACTGGCCGATAGTCGGATAGTTTGCACCCATACATATCTTCACTTCAACTCCACAACTCATCCGTTGTTTAGGTAGAGGCTCTAGGGAGAATTAAAGCAGATGTAGGGAACATGCTTGTTGAAATCCAAGCTGGACTCTTTTCCACCGTCGCAACCTTTCCAGAGGCTCAAGAGGTGACGCACAGAGTAAATGCTTGCAACTGGTGGACCAGCATCAGAGCAAAACAAGTAGTACAGTTAAGCGGCAGGCTCTCAACATCCTTCAAATGGACGAACATCCGGGTGGGTGCACTGGGTCCTGAATCACTGCTACATTATTCAATTTAGTGATGTTACTTCTGAACTCCTGAGAGCTCGGGCTGAGTCTTTGCTGGTTTGCAGAGAGAGCACTGCAGTTTGAAGTAACGAACGATGACCAGATCCCAACAGCAAGTTAATGTTCTTCGATGCTATGCACATCGGCGAAAACACGCCGTCCAGCACAGCTACTGACCAACAATCGCTATGAGCGATGACAGCTCGTACGTTACTAGAGCGCGCACACACAAACGTTACCACGGATTCGACGTCTGATTCGACTACTCTTTTCAATCTGAAACATTCTTCTCTGCAGATTCTCTAAATATCTTTTCTGGACGAATCTTTCAAGAAGTATATATAACGATGAAATTTACACCCACTGCCTCTGGGACCATCATTTCGGGCTAAATGTTCCGACAGTAGGGTCGGTAGTGTTGCTGTTTCAGCTGATGCCTCCATCTTAGCAGCTGGTTTCTTACTGTGAGAATCTTCAAAAGATAGCAATCATCGGCAACTGTAAAGCATTGTCTCGGTCAAAACTACCTAATTATGCGTCGCCCATATAAAGCATATAGGGATTGAAGTGTTGATCGCAGGGTATGGGACTAGAAATAATAGTCATGAAGCCATGCTGATCATTCAGCTGACTGCAACCGCAATATCTCATTACCCCCTGCGTTCTCATGGGTGTTAAGTTCAAAATGCATTAAGCTTCAAGTTCAAAATGCTTTGAAATGACATCAACGTGTTCACAGCTGCTTGCTGGGGTAGAACCCACAGAATTCCTGTAGCTGGTGAATGCCTTCGTGTGGCAAAGTTCACACGCTACCGTATCTTTTCCCTACCGTAATCAACCCAGTGTGTCTGCATCTCTGCGTTGCGTCACTCTCTCGTATGGCGCTGACCACTGCTTGTTCTGTGATCGGCGGTCCCAATGCTGCCAAACAGCTTCCTCATGCCCAGTTTCTACGAATTGGCAAGTGGGATATAGCAGTAACCAGGAACATTGCACTTTTAACAGAGGTCAGCTTTAAAGCTGAGGCGCAGTAGTAATTTTGAGATCTCAAAATTTTTATTAATTTCAATGTAAAATTATTCCACTGCCAAAGGCAGGATAATCGCTACAATAATTTCAATCATATGCGAAGAATCGCTAAAGTCACATTTTTATTGTTCAGATTTCAGATTTCGTCTCGTTTCTTTTAGGGATGTTTCCCTTTAGTTTATGACCAAGTTGACATAGTGAAAGAACTGTCAATCTATTTGTTTGTAATTCGCGTTCATGACGTCGAAGTCCTCTCATTTGAATAGTGCCTTAGTCCCTGATTTCAGATCTGAAATCAGCTACCAAAAATACGAAAGCGATTCAAAGCAGCGAAATGGTGGATGTGGAGAACGCGCCGCCATATGATGTGCTTATAAAGCTGAATGAGAGCACGCATGAAACGGATTTGGATCGAGACGAGTATGATGAAGAATGTGCAGACGATGACGAAGCACTTCGTGTAGCTCTTGACGAGAACGGAGAAGACGAGGAGATGCTTGACGTCGAATCACCAGACATTGATGAATTGGTAGGCCACCACACATGCCTGTTCTCGCAGTTCTTGAACATGCATATTTTCAGGAAGGTAGTGAGACGTCGTCTTCAGCCTTGGAAGAATCACCTCAAGGGGCAAGCACATCCCCTGAGAATGTCTCTACCATCATGCTTGTTGGCGACACACCGCAGACATCCACTGCAGAGGTAGGAGACGGATCGTTTCAAGCCTTCCTTCAGATTATCAGTCTTTACCACAGAAGCGGGGATGGCATTTTTTTATCATGAAAAACTAAATTGTTTGGGCGCATTCTCTCTTGAATACATACATGTCAAGCGTATGAAATCGAAATTAATCACATCAGCAATGCAATCAGTTTTCCTTTGAAGGAGTTAATGAGGTTATGGGAGGTCTTCATTACACCCCTGTAATGTCTTCGTCTTCCCTCATGTCTTCGACACCAATGCTATTAAGGGCACTCTAATGATAGGTTTTGAGGTTGTGGTTCTCGGAACAGTGCTAGGAGCGCCAAATTCTGGTAATCACATCGAGAAGAGGCACATTTGTGATATTTGTGGGAAGGTTCGTTTCTATTCCACATCGAGGGTGCAGCAATGTGACTCGGCTACGGCTTCGGTCCATGCCCCTTCGCTCGGCTGCTCCTTTAAGCAGAAAAATCTACGACTATACATCGATTTTCAATAAAAAGGTTGATTTCAGGGATTCCCGTACCACTCCATTCTAGAGTCACACAAACGCTGCCATACTGGTGAAAAACCTTTCAATTGCCATTTTTGCGACAAGAAATTCGCTCAGAAGGCAACTCTGCAAGTGCACGAACGAACTCATACAGGAGAGCGACCGTGAGTGTATCCTAATTCTTCTGAAAGTTTTAAACCCTGCTAAAGAGAGAGACCGTCCAGGGCAAGACCGTTATGGATAATCGTCCCCCATTTGATCCGAAGGCTTCCAGAATCTCAATTCATTATATCGATTTCAGGTACAAGTGCCGCTACTGTGAAAAGACATTTGCCCAGTATGGCACAAAAACGGTACACGAGAAGAGCGCTCACCTCGGTAAGTCTTATAGTTGGAAGCGCAACTCTGTTCTTGGAAGAAATTCTCTTGGTTTTCCAGGAATTCGAAATTACAAATGCCCCAAATGTGACAAGTGTCTCTCTTCGCCAAGTGCCCTTTACACACACAAGAAGACCCACGGAGAAAAGACGTTTCAGGTGGTTCCTCCTTACCACTCCTGCTTCTTCATTTTTTTAAGTAAACGATCTACATAAGAGAACGTTTTCAGTGTGACTTTTGTCCGAAAACATTCACGTTAAAGAACTATCTGAAACTTCACGTGAAGCAGGTCCATGAACAGAATGAGAGGAAGCATGTATGCCGATTTTGCGGCAAGAGTTTCGCCTATGCTGGCAGTTTACAGGTAGGATCAGTACTCGCTAAGAATTATTCAGGGCTTAATATACATGATTTGTAGGTCCATGTCAGAACTCATACGGGTGAGCGACCATATCGCTGCAGTTATTGTCCGAAAGCGTTTGCCAGTCAGGGCAATCTACAATCGCACGAGAGGACGCATACGGGCGAAAGGCCTTACTCGTGTAGCACTTGCGGGAGGAGCTTCATTCAAGTGAGGAAATGTGTTTGCTTAGTTCTGAAAGGGTTCTTTCCATAAAAGAGAATTGTAAGGAGGTTGGACCAGTGACTGAATTTTTTCAAAAATTACCAAGTCGTTACTCCACCCAAACCCACACAGTCCCAAATCGTTAATTAATTATTCGTGAACTGATAGTGGGTAATTTGGACGTTTCCGAGAACAAATATGTCGTTCTCTCGAACTCCTTTGTGAAAGAAAATCGCCATACCAAAGTGGGGTGCCCCAGCTTCAGATCTCACAAAGGCTGATAAGAAGCACTTAATTGTTGTCTAGCAGTTTGTTACTTTGCATGAGCTTCTCCTGTAGTAACGTAGTTACCTTTCTGAATTGAGAGTACTTTTTGATAGACCATTTAAAGCTGTAAAAGCTGGAATTCAGACACGAATCCGAAACAAATCAAACTAGAACTACCTAGAAATATTCGTTCCTTTCGCTCCATTGGGATTCGTCAATGCCGGCTTTTAAGTGGTCTATTTTGAGGCTCTCAAAAGTTCTAAGTGGGGAACAGTTACATATAATATAGTGGGCGCTCATATTATTACATTTGACCAATTGAATGCCAACCCACAATTGGCGAAAGAACTAGAAATTCCCCTTCTTAACTTTTTGTACAAGCTGCCTACTTAGCTTTCGATGCAAAATCGTAGCCTCTCAGTGGTCTACCGTATTCATCTGCCGTGAAGAGCTATCAAACAATTTACTAGGAAAAATCATTATTTGACGGCAAACGGCAAAATTTTCTACACCAAAACAAGCATTCCGAGGTATCAAAAATCAGTCGGTCTGTATGGACTTGGTTTGTACCCTTAATCCCACTCCTAGACGTTCTCTACATTGAAAGTACAAAGTAACAGTGACATCACAGCAATAGTTTCGGGTTTTCCCTAGAGTTTTGTCTGTTTCCAAAACATTCGTTCTTTGCTCTTGGCAGCGGCATACATGATGACCATTCCTTTGCACTTTCGACGTCTAATGAAAGTGCGTTTGCACTTTCGGCTTGTTATTTCTCCCCGTTGGAATTTCGTTTTACAATTAGCATTTGAACTAGCGCCCCTTAGTGAGTACGATAATACTCTGAAACAAAAGCAACAACTGACTAACGATACTATCCTTAGAATGAGTATTATGAACTGACCTAATGATGTGTGGCAAAGCAAAATGTAGCCTCAAAGCGCTGAATAACTTTTGGAAATAATCTCCTCCCAATGTTCAACATGGGACCAAAAAATGCGAATACGAAAATTCTTTTTGAAAACCTCGCATTTTTTCCCGAGAGCACAAAAGCTCCTGAATTTGTCATCACTGCATCAGTTTCACTTGCATAATTCTCTTCAGTCTGCATAATCCCTAGAGGAATTTGCATAAGTTTTAACTTGAACTTTTGGTGACCCCTTCTGTTAATCGGAGGTGTACGATGAAAATGATTAAATCTTGGGGCGGTGATCAATCTCGTCTAGAGGATGCGCCAGGCAATCGACTATCATTCAGAATCGTAGTAGCGTATTGAGTACGTATGTGGCCTGTACAATGTTTTGCGGTTGCCAGGTGGTCTATACCATGAAATGATGTGGCTAGCTGAGGTACAAGTCAGTGGTTGTATCCCCCAAAACGAACCTGGTACTATTTAACACACTCCGAAGGTATTGGTGACTTTATTAGCCTAGAGGTGTATCAATCCGGGATTCGAACCCGTGACGATGCATGTAGGATAGTGCACCACTTGCCACTACGCCATCCCCGAGATATACGATATCGGAATGAATGTACATAGCAGAATCTCCATTTTGGAAAAAAATCAGGTCTCCATTGCAACTAATGTTCCCTGCATCCAACTAACGCGGTGCCAAAAATTTCTGTCAGCTGCATCCATTCTAAAACAAGACAAATGAAAAATTTCCAGAGAGGCTGTTACCACGGCGCTACTTCGCCCAATCTAATTTCCGAGAGATCTTACTGGCGCTCACCTTTCAAAACCTAATCTATGCTAGATTCGATCAAAAAGAATAGGAGTTTTATATAACCTTGAATCAATCCATTGTTTTGGATAGATTGACATTTGAACGTCATTAATGTTGTTACATAAATCCCTGATGTTTTCAGAAATCCCAGCTGATCGCTCACGAAGCCACACACACTTCGCTGTTGTCTTGCTCTAGCGACAACTCGTCGACGTCGATACAGCCTGCGCCAACGAGTGGAGCTCCACCGGCTGAGAAGAAGATCACCACTCCTACCGACTACGTGTGCAAGTTCTGCGGCAAGCGATACGCCTACGCTAGCAGCTTGTACGTGCACACCAGACTACATACTGGAGAGCGACCTTTTAGGTAGATCTAGGCGATGCGCTACTCCGCACCACTCTCTATTCAAATCCACACTTGACCAAGAACATCCTACTATGAGCTGGTTATGGGCTGAATCACCTCCTCCTTTGACGATACCCAGTCGGTCGCAAAGGTTCCTTCCATACGATAATACTTTCACAGAAGAGCTGTGATGCTGGTTTTCTTCACCTGGCTTTTGAGACGTTCTCTATCTTCATGGGATTCCTGAAGCGCTTATTTCATACACCTCGAAGCAGTGCCACACACATATGTTCGTTCACCATCATAGTGCATTTTGGTACGGGATTGCAGTGGAATTCAGAAGTATGTTATGTAGCTGTAAACGCAAATCTTGCCAACGTAGAAGTGTGGGGGTAACTGATCCGTTGCTGATTTCTTTTTCTTCTATTCTCCTCTCCTTAGCCGTCGAAGATCTAGGTCCTCGCTTCTCCTTGCCCTTTAGCATAGCCCCTATCACGTTTCATCCTTTCTCCAGTAGTCTGTCACACTCAATAGTAACTGTAGGATACCTGTCGATTTTCTCACAGTTGATGCGCATCGTCAAACATCCCTTTCTGAGCTAACTGGTAAATCTACGACTTTTCTCAGAAGGTTACAGTAGCGATCCTCTCACATAAGTTTCTCGTCACACCCTGAAACTGTAGGTTGTAACATAATTTCCGAACTGCATTGGAACTTTTCTATTTCAGAAATTCCAGTCGTGTTCAGGTTTTTCAGAACTGATGTAAATTGGTCCGGAAACTACGTGACAACCTAATACTAATATCCTTATATGTGAAAAACTTCGGACTAAACCAAACGATTCCACATTCCCTCAACATCACGAAGTCCTGGAAATAAATACTTTAGTATATTCATTTTACAGATGTCAGTTCTGCGATAAATGCTTCACCAATCAAGGGAACATGCAAGTGCATCAACGGGTGCACACCGGCGAGAAACCGTAAGCTTTCTGAATGGGAGAGAGAGGCAAGAAAGGATATCAGTTGTAAATTGCAGATATTCGTGCAGTGCCTGCGGGAAGAGCTATGCCCAGAAAGTCGGCCTGAAGATCCATCTCGAACAATGTGAAGCTGCCCAGGCGGGACGTCAGTCAGAGAGCCCGGTGAACGTGGACACCGATTCGGACAGTTCCGATAGCACTCGCAGGGTCGACTTCTCATTACCAAACATTTATGCAAGTGAGTGTCACGGTTACATATGTATAAAATGTCTTTGTACCACCGCTATTGAGCCTGAAATCTTTACGGTTGACCAAAGCTTCAAAACGAGTCCTTTAAGTGCCTTACTTCAATCTATCCCCTTTTTGATATGCTCTTCCGTGTTCAGCTTACTTTCGGAATTGTAGAAGCCTTTTCAATGAAGGCGGTCTGTACCATGACACGATGTGGATGATCAAGTCAGAGCTTAAACCCTCCCAGACGAGCCTGACTCAATCGATTCCAAAAGGATAGGTGGCTTTATTAGCTTAGGCATATATCGATCGTGGACTCAAACCCGTTATCATGCTTATGGGGGACAGTGCGCCACTTATGGGGGACAAGTTTAAAAACCTTCCATCAGCATTTCGAAAGCATGACCCCTATTTTCAAGGCCAAAATTACGAATAAAAGGATGAAAGATAAAGTTTCTAGTGTTAACCAATCCCTTCTGAGTGCTTTTATTCTCCCACAGCAATGTGGTGCCAATTGACCGACCCCAGAGGGATGGAAGGCTTGGTTGGCTTAGGCAGGCATCGGTCCGGAATTCGAACCGCTCAACGTGCGTGTGAGATAGTGCGCCACTTTCCACTACACCACCTCCGCCCAAAAAGTAATTACGGATACAGCGACGAAACCGGCGAGCGATCTCCGACTACAAAGGGTCCGTCTTGATTAAAAGTTAACCTTCTTATTTTATGTGGCCCATAATTACGCGACATACGCCGATGAATAGATCACCTTTTCCTCCCATATGAAACCAGGATACGCGGCTAGAATGCCTACGGTTCTATTCCCCAGAAGAAATGCTGTTCAACGAATATAGATCGCCCTTTGATAAGGACTTTTGTGGTTCCGCATCCATTCTTTATTCTTTACCGAGCGACCTTGCTAGTGCTGGACGTAAGCTTGCCATTCCAGTGGTCATCATATAATATAGCGGGCAGGGCAAGGGAAGAGAAGTCAACTGCTTGGCATAAGCTATACCCCAAAGTTCCTGAAGCGGTTCCCATTTCTGGTTTCCGCATTGGAGTGGCCCATTTTGCAACTGTGATCCACGCTTCGTCCCATACGTAAAATCTATCTATTTCGGATTAAATGTTCCCCCGATTTTCCTGATAACTCTTTTTGGAGACGGACGAATCAAGGTATTGCTCAATTCTCAAAAAACTCATATTTGGATAGATTCGTTGCTAAAAAGTCTACCAGCTTTTTTCTTGTGATCTTAGGATTCCTCCCAGTGCATACTGTATGATCTGGAAAACACTCTAATTTATTTTATTTTGTTCGCTGTGGTGGATTGTGGGCGTTTGCAGATTCTGACTGAGGAAGAAGTTTTAATTGTTGTTTAATTTGCAGACAATTCTCCTCCAGTCAGCGTCAATGCCGCTGTATCGTTGCCCAGTTATAGCCAGTGGAGTGTTCCGGACATCCTTAGCAAGCTTCCTTCATCTCCTTATGGAATTCCGACGACAACCACAATAAGCACCTCTCCCACCACAGTGGCGTTCCGTGCTCTTGAGGTCTGTAGATGTTTTGTCGAAATACTCTGGTGCGTGATACTGAAATAATCCACCTTTACA